GCGCGCGGAGCCACAGGTCCGCTACGACACGCGTCCGCGGATAGAGAAAATCAGCGCCATGGTAAGGGATGGGAGGGAGGGGTAGGACGTCAGATATGACGCGAGCGCACCTAGCTTGTCCTCCTCCTCCTCCTCCTCCTCCTCCTCCTCCTCCTCCTCATCTCCTCCCACCTCCACCTCCTCCTCCTCCTCCTCCTCAGCTCCTCCTCCTCCTCTCCTCCTCTCTCCTCCTCCTCCTCCTCTCCTCTCCTCTCCTCTCCGCATCATCCTCCTCTCCTCCTCGCCTCCTCCTCCTCCTCCCCTCCCCTCATCCTCCTCCTCCTCTCCTCCCCTCCTCCTCCTCCTCCACCTCCCCCACCTCCCCTCCTCCTCCTCCTCCTCCTCTCTCCTCCTCCTCCTACTCAGCCTCCTCCTCCTCCTCCTCCGCATACTCCTCATCCTCTCCTCCTCCCCACCGTCCTTCTCTCCTCCTCTCCGCATCCGCCTCCTCCATCCTCCTCACCTCCTCCTCCTCCTCTCCCTCATCATCCTCCTCCTCCTCCTCTCTCCTCCTCCTCCGCCTTCTCCTCATCCTCCCCCTTTTCCCCCTCGTCCTCCGCCTCCTCCACCTCCTCCGCCTCATCCTCCGCCTGCTCCGCCTTCTCTTCGTTTTATGATTGGTTTTTGTATTATTGTTATCAGTCGTATGTTCATGATTAGTGTTAGTAGTGGTTTTCGTCATAGTAGTCGTATTATTCGTACGTGTGCTGTTAGTATGTTGGTTTTGTTAGTATGGTCTTCTTGCTCATATGAACTATAGTAAAAGTAATAGCATTAGCACTGTTAATAATAGTACAGTACTAGTCGTATGACTATTATTGTATTGAATAATAGCATTAGGATTAGTCGTATGATTAGTAACAGTACGATTATTAGTTGCATCAATAGTAGTAGCAGTGGTCTTAGTATTGTCATTAGTGTTAGTAGTTTTGCTATTATTAGTAATCCGCCGATCCGGCGTGTGAGTTCCTGAGAGCGTGGGCTTGAGCTCGCTCAAGCTTCGCTCTTGCGAGGGGGGGGGGGGGCTGACGCGAGCTGACGCGGGCTGACGCGAGCTGACGCGGGCTGACGCGAGCTGACGCGGGCTGACGCGGGCTGACGTTTTTCCGGCCCCAGGACCCGGGATCCGGGACCCGGGCGCGCTCCTGGGAAGGGGGGGCGGCTGACGCGAGCTGACGCGGGGTGACGCGAGCTGACGCGGGCTGACGCGGGCTGACGTTTTTCCGGCCTCCGGGCCCAGGATCCGGGACCCGGGCGCGCTCCTGGGCGGGAGAGGGGGGAGGGAGGGCTGACGCGAGCTGACGCGGGCTGACGCGAGCTGACGCGGTCTGACGCGGGCTGACGTTTTTCCGGACTCCGGGCCCGGGATCCAGGACCCGGGCGCGCTCCTGGGAGGGAGAGGGGGGAGGGAGGGCTGACGCGAGCTGACGCGGGCTGACGCGGGCTGACGACGTTTTTCCAGCCCCCGGGCCCGGGTCCGGGGACCGGCGCACCCTGGAGCGGCGCGAGACCCGGGACCCGGGACCGGCGCCGGTCTCAGGCTCGGGACCCGCGACCCAGGACCAGCGTGGGAATCGGGACCCGGGACCGGCGCTGGACCCGGGACCCGCGACCCGGGATAGGCGCGGGACCCGGGACCCGGGACCGGCGCGGGACCCGGGACCCGGGACCGGCGCGGGACCGGCGCGGGACCCGGGACCCGGGACCCGGGACCGGCGCGCGACCCGGCACTCCCGACCCGGGACCGGCGCGGGACCCGGGACGCGGCACCGGCGCGGGACCCCGGGACCGGGGACCGGCGCGAGACCCGGGACCTGGGACCGGCGCGCGACCCCGGACCCGGGACCGGCGCGGGACCCAGGGGACTTGGGACCCGGGACCGGCGCAGAACCCGGGACTCAGGGCCCGCGACTCGGGACCGGCGCGCGACCCGGGACCCGCAACCTTGCGGCGCGGGATCTGGGAGCCGCGATCGGCGCGGGACCCAGGACTCGGGACCGGCGCGGGGCCCGGGACCCGGGACTGGCGCGAGACCCGGGACCCGGGACCGGCGCGGGACCCGCGACCAGGACCCGGGACCAGCGCGGGACCTGGGACCGGCGCGGGACCCGGGACCCGGGACCCGGGACCCGGGACCGGCGCGGGACCCCGGACCGGCGCGGGACCCGGGACCCGGCCGGGACCAGGGACCGGCGCGCGACCCGGCACTCCCGACCCGGGACCGACGCGGAACCCGGGACGACGCGGCGGCACCGGCGCGGGACCCGACCCTGGACCGGCGCGGGCCCCGAGACCCGGGAACGGCGCGAGACCCGGGACCCGGAACCGGCGCGGGACCCGGGACCCGGGACCGGCGCTGGACCCGGGGACCCGGAACCGGCGCGAGATCCGCGACCGGGGACCAACGCGACACCCGGGAGACGGGACCGGCGCGAAACCCGGGACCCGGGACCGGCGCAAGACCCGGACCCGGACCGGGACCCGGAACCCGGGACCGGCGCGGGACTCGGGACCCGGGACTCCGCGACCCGGGACCGGCGCCGGACTCCGGACCGGCGCCGGACCCGCGACCCGGGACCGGCGCGGGACCCGAAACCCGGGACCAGCGCAGGACGTGAGACCCAGGACCCGGGACCAGCGCGAGACCTGGGACCCGGGACCGGCGCAGAACCCGGGACCCGTGACCCGGGACCGGCGCGGGACCCAGGACCCGGGACCCGGGGCTCGGGACCGGCGCGTAACCCAAGACCTGAAACCCGGGACCGTCGCGGGACCCGGGACCCGGGACCGGCTCGGGACCCAGGACCCGGGACCCGGGACCGGCGACCCGGGACCCGGGACCTGCGCGAGACCCGGGAAGCGGGACTGGCGCGAAACCCGGTGCGCCGGTCCGGGTCCGGGTCCAGGGTCCTGCATGCGCCGGTCCCGGGTCCCGGGACCGATGAGACCTCGCGCGCCCCTCTTGGGACTCTCCTGAAGCCCATTTTGGTTTCTCTGGGACCCCTCTTGGAACCCTCGTAAGGCCCGGTTGGAAATCTCTTGGAGCCAGAAGAGCCGACCCAGACAGTGTGAGAGGGCTCTCGAGGGGCACCAGGAGTGGGACAAGAGGACCCCAAGAGGGCTCCAGGAGGAGCGCGCCAGGTCTCATCGAGAACAGCGGTTCGATGAGACCTGGGCCTCCTTCTCTTAGAGCCCTCTTGAGGCTATCTTGAAGCCCCCTAAAGGCTCTCTATTAGCCCCTAGACGGGGCCAGGACAGGGTGGGCCGGTCCTCGAGGAACGACGAGACGCTCTCGGAGGAGAAAAAAAAAAAAGATCAGGAGAGGAAGCACGTTTTTTACACAAAAAAACGAATCTGGGGGAACAAAACGTAGAGCAGGAGGAAGAAGAGGAGATGAGGGAGGAGTAGGAGGACACCGAGGCGGGAAAGGAGGAGCGGAAAGCGAACGAGAAGGAGGAGGAGAAGGAAGAGGATGCGGGAGGAGGAGGAGAAGCAAGAAGAGGAGGAGTAGGAGGATTAAGAGCGCCCCGGATCGGCGGCACTGGCCGGAGGCCACTACAATAATACTATTACTATTAGCGTTGCTGGTATTTTGAATAGTAACGAAGCCGATGCCAGTTTTTCAAGAGGCAGCTTGCCGAGACACATCACCACATGGCGCGAAGCGCCGGACTTCAAACCACTAAGGCTGAACAAACAACTTTGCTGGGCTCGGGTTTGGCGTTAAGGGGCGGTCAGAGATGGCTTGAGAAACCGTGGCCGCAGTATATACATTCGCATGCACGCATGTCCACGAAGACGATGCCAGTTTTTCAAGAGGCAGCTTGCCGAGACACATCACCACATGGCGCGAAGCGCCGGACTTCAAACCAATCTCACGGCCCAAAAGCCACAGGTGATCTGGCACAGCATATTTTAGAAAGCTGTGCCACTGCCAATCGTTGAACTGAATTATCCAAACATCGTGCAATAAACTCAGCTATGGGAGGAGGATAGGGCTCAGCTAGCTTGGACACCCAAGCTCCGTGCAGTTTTCCACTGATGGCAAGATGCAGCTTTCCTGAGAATTTGCAGATGCCACGACGACCAGAGCAGACAAACTTTGAGGCGTCAGGACTGCCAGCGTTGAGAAAAAGCAAACGAGTGCGCTTGCGGACAGGCAAGCCGCAGGAGCAAAAGTTGACATTGGGATGCGGCCACTTAGCCAGCAGCCGCTGGCGCACAGGAAAAAGCCACAACAAAGATGTGGCTGGGTTCCCCTGCCCGCATGGCACTCCCAAGCCCTCGGCGGCCTTCAGCAGCAGCCCGGCCCAGTCGACGAGGGTGTTGGCTTCACGCACTTGTTCTTTGAGGCGCTCGTCAAGTCCCGGCAGCCCACGAAGATGCTCGTTAGATCGGAGAGGAGGCGGCGTACCTGCAGCACCGTTCTGACGAGCTCGCGTCGTGGCAACGCAAGGCGCTGCCACCCAAAAGCCCCACACTCTGCCAGCGCGGAGCCAACCCATAACCGTAGCAAAGACCTGCGTCCGCCTGATGTCATGACGAGGGCCCAGCTTTTTCTCGAAACAAATGACTCCGTGACCGCGATCTCTCAGAAACCTGCCGACAGGACCAGCGCCCGCGAAGATGTCGAGGAGGACTTTGCAGTGGCCGACTCTGGCGTCGCGCCTGGCCGCTGCCAGGCTGCGAGAAAGAGCTTGGTCAACTCTTGCTCGCGACGCCGGGCAGTCGCCACTACGGCCGCCCCGGACCGCTGCAGCACCAGGCCGAGTCGCGCGTGCTTCTCGTACCTGGCCAGGCTCGAGTAGGTCTTCCAGCCGCCTCGTTTCATCACCTCCAGCATGGGGCGCGAGTTGCTGGCTCGGTCCTCCGACGCGCCCCCGTGTCTCAGACAATAAGGCGCGAGGCGCAGGTGCTCGATCCCGAGCCGCCTGCACGTCGCCCGCCAGTGCCTGAGCAACGTCACGTAGTCGAAGAGAAACACCGGGTCGCGCTGGCCGCGCCGGCCGAAGATCTCCTCCAGCCCTGGCACCAGCAGCTGGTGTCGCGGCAGATCGAAGTCGCCTGTCTTGCCAGGCCTGCCGAGCTCGAGGGCCCGGGTCAGCACGGCCCAGCGCCCTTTTGTCCCCGGCAGCCCGTCTCCCGCCGGTGGGACGAGCTGGAAGCGCTGGAGAGCCAGGGCCTCGCTGGGGCGCATGTACGTCTCGAAGACCAGCATGACGAAGAACCCCAGGCTCGGCAAGCCGCAATCGCACAGGTCGAGGGCGATCGCGATGGCCAGCTCGCGCGGCTCGGCGGCCTCGTCTGGCCCGGCTCGGCCCGCCGCCACCCTGCCAGCGCTGCCGAGGCCAAGGGGGGGCCTCGGCGCAGCGGCCGAGGGATGGCAGGCTCTGCCCACCGCACAGCCGCCAGCGTCGTCCCGCCGGCGTTCTCGGTCGCTCCCGAGTCGCACAGGTGCTCGATGTAGCTCGTCAGGAGCACATCCCACTCGTCCTTGTCGAGCGTGGGCGCCCTCCTCAGCATTAGCCACCTCAGCAGCATCTCCAGGTGCGTCAGGTAATGTCCTGTGTCGCCGGGGTCACCGACGCCGCCCCCAGCGCAGAAACTCGGAAGCCGAGCTCCGCCAGCCGGGCTGCCGCGCGCCCTGCGCTCCCGATCGGGGTCGAGGGCGACTGGCGCATCGCCTGCCGCACCTGCTGTCTCCGAGCGTAGCCCGCCCGGCGCGCCGGGCGCGCCGCGGCGCTCCCTGCCGGCCCCGGCCCCAGGCGGCGGCGAGCCACGGGCGGCCTGGCGGTGGGAGCGGCCGCGAGGCGGGCTGACACTCGAGCAGGTGTCGCGGCCGACGACGTCGGCAGCTGCGTCGTGTCCAGCCTGACCGCCGTGCGCAGCCTCCCAGAGCCCCGGCAGGCCGTAGGCGAACGGGACCGCGGCCGCGAGGCGTCGGAGGCCCGGAGGGTGCGGAACTCCATCGCCGATGACCGCCTCCACGGTCCCAGATAGAGGGGTGGGCCCGCTGCGGCTCGCAAGACAATCCGAGCCACCCGGATTACTGACATAGAAGTACTTAGCGTGGTGCTCGCTGGCAGGGTCGCACCTTCGGCTCGGGGCATCTGCGCTATTCCACTCGGAAGGAATCCAGCGATACACGAAGCGGCACCCAGAGGCAATAGCGAGCGCATACAGCTCTCGACACCGACGAAGAACAAACCAGGGGCTCCCTCTCCCTTTGGTGGCTGCACACACCCAGGCCATCGAGTCGCTGAGGATGAGGTGCCGATGGTCCCCTAGACGCTTGTCACGACTGATACGCCGAGCAGCCCACAGGGCCGCCTCCGCCTCCAGGTTCAGGATCTTCTCCGTCCTCCTCCACCTCCTTGCCGCAATGACGCACCAAGGGGAGTCCTTGGCAAACCACTCGGGAACTTCGGGGAACTCCGTCTGGGCTCCAGTCTCCAAGAAGTCGTGATCAGACCCACGGGCGAGGAACGAGAAGGGCACCTCAATGTCTTCCAAAACGTCGCGCGGCCTAGCACATTTGCGAAGCTCCCCACGGAATCGACAACGTTCACTGACACGGCCAACCTTGCCAACGCCGCTAGACTCGAACTGGCACGCCGTGACCCCGAACCCGCGTAGCGACGCGCCCACAGAGGTCACCTCCGAACTCCAGGGGATATCCAGCCGAGCAACAGCCGTGGGGAGGAGAGCCCATGCGAGCCAGCACTCGCGCCTAACCGAGCTCCAAACCCACGCGGGTCGGTCTCGAAAACGCGTGCTAAAGGTGTAAGCTGCTGAAAAGATTGAGAGCAACTCAGGACGAAGCTGAAACACCGCAGAGACATGGCCTACCAGACGAGCGATCTGACGTCAAGTCCGACGAACCCGACCCTGGAAGACCGCCTTGAAAGCCAAGGAGATCCTCCAAAACTTACGCCCAGAAGGGACCCAAGACGACCCCGAACCACCCAAGCAATACCCAAGAAAAGGGGCGCCGTCGGGCTCCGCGTCAGCGTCGAGACCGGCACTTTGCACAGCAGACAACATTTTCGCAGGCCCGTCACTCGAGCGTGCGGCCGAGAGCGAGAGAGACGCAAAGTTGTCCACGTAAATTGCACTGACGGCGCCTTGATGAGTGAGGGGGCCCAGGGGTCTGCGCTGGGCCAAGAAGGGATCCCTGGGGACGGCGGGGGCCAGCAGGTTCTTCATCGCAGACTGGACGAAGTACACTGCCCACGACCAACCCATAAGTACAACACGGAGCCTGAACCTGACCAACCCCGAGAAATCGGGCGGGCCCAGGACGTATCTCCCTGAGCACATCGCAGACCAGTCCCAGATGGGATTTCCAAGGAGCTGAGCGCCTGAGCGGCAGCAAGAGAGGTGTACAGAGGGGGGGAAAACGAGGTATTAGCGTCACGCGTATCAAATATGAGACGCAAGGCACCGTCTTTCTTTCTTACAAAAAAAGGGTGACCATCTTCGTAGACCCCCCTACCTCCAGCATCTGGCGAGACAGGAGGTCACTCAAAAAACGACCGTAAGCCTTCTTGCCCTTTGCAAGTCTGGGGTCGAAGGCCAATTTCCCAGCAGAACTGTTGTCAGCATGAGCGGCATTAGTCAGAAGCCCAGTGGATTCCCCTACCAACAGAGAGCGATCCGAAGCGGGAAGCACATCCTCCAGACGTGTCACCCCGGTGGCAACGCGAGGCAATGAGACCTTGCCTCGTTGGTAAAGTGCATGGCTCCCGCTGGTCGGGCCATCAGCATAACCAGGGTCGGTTCCCAAAGTGCTTTTGACGGCACTCTGGACGGTCATACCACTCGGTTGCTCAGGAATTGCGGCATACATGCTAGCGAGTCGAGACAAGGCGTGAGCCTGCAAAATTGTCGTCGGCTGCGCAGGCGTCGTCTGACCACGACCCCCGATCGAGTTAAGCGCTCGAATCCCTTCCTGCAGCCACCGCGCAGAAGGGCCCGTGGAGCACAGGCCAGGCGGCGGACCAGCGCAGGGAAGGGCGAACACATCGCGATGTGACTGCAAAGCCATGGCCTCGCCGATGGCCTCCCTCGAAAAACTTGCCTCGCACGCGGTGGGGCGTCACGCGCAAGGCGACCGACGATGCCCACGTGCAGTCAGCCCTCCTCGGCCTTCTGCTTCTTGGGCGGCCTCTTCTTTTTGTCCTGACCCTCGATGGCGGCAGCACCTCCCGCGCCGCCGCCGCCGCCGCCGCCGCTGCCGGAGCCCGAAGACGCCAGCGCGGCCAGGTTGCGCTCCTCGCGACCCTTGCGGCGCTCCTTCAAGATCTTGCTCTCCTGCTCCATCTTCTCTGCCGCGTACTCGGCCAGGCTGAGCGAGACCAGAGCTGCGCTGCCCGACGTGACCCCGAGGAAGAGGTGCCTCTCAGCGGCCACTCCGGCGGCGGCTCCGGGTCCCTCAGTCACCTGCTTCAGTTTCTCAGCGTAGCGCTCCTCCCACAGCTGATAGCGACGGGAGATCGCCTCGAAGGCGGCGCTGTTCGGCAGATTCAGCTGGTCGCACTGTCCGCCGAGCTCGAAAAGCTCCGAGAGGAAGAGGTGGTCATCAATCCCAGGGTCCGCCGTCGTCGCCCCCAGCATCTGCCGCCACCAGCGGTGGCGCGCCACAGGGCTCTGGCCCCCCTTGTGGAACGCCCCCATCAGCCAGCCTGTCGTCCGCGGGCCGCGGACAGGAAAGTCATCGAAGGTCTCCTCCGCGAAGGCACCCCGCGCGCTCTGGAACGAGCGTGTCCTCTCACCGCGAGGGTTGTACTGCACTGGCAGCGTCCTCACGTCATCGTCACCGGCACGCGGCGGCAGCTGCGCCGACACCGGCACGGTCTCCCCATGGCGGATGAGGAGCCCCGAGCGCCCGTCGGTGACGCACCGATCGTTCAGGCCGACCGTCACCTGCTCGTGCCTCCGCTGGCCGAACCCGTCGGTGAGCAAGTACCAGGTCGTCCCGCGTGGCGCATCGTCGAGCTCCTTCGGCATAGGGCTGCGTGGCGTAGGAGTGCCGCC